GTTTTCGAGTATCTAGATAGAAGGTCGATCGGAGAAGCTTGACACTTCGTCGATAACATTTGCCTCGGCCATTGATATTTACATCGAATATACATATACGTACATACTACAACGGGAAGCATTGCCATCAGTACATACAGATGTACTGCGTGCAACAAGCGCGAATAATATAACGCGAAAAAAGTCACTTTACTATCAGCGTCGTCAATGCGACATTAAAAGAATTCGTGAAACGAAACAAAACTACTAATCTTCGCGTAAACGTGCACGATCCTTTTCATTGCTTTATTTTCCTTCTTTTCTTTTCTTTTATTTATATTAGTTTACGATGAGGTCGATATTCAACAGAGTTCTAATGCGAACGGATAACGATAAAGAAGTTAAATTGGATCTGCGGATACGTGTATATCCACATACTTGGTACACAGATATATTTAATCCTGTCATGACGACAACGACGATAGGATCACGTAGGATTACGCAAATTAATTCGATTAGGAGGCACATTATAAATATATGCGCATCTATGCGATTCTATAAGCACGGACACGATCCTTTCGGAACAACGAACAAATTCGATTATCGATATAAGCGAATCCTATCAAGATGCTTCATAGAAATATTCATTTGGACGATAGTGAACGTTTCTTTCTCGTCTCTCCTCCCGGATGAAGTTCTACGATAAGATTTGATCGGATATCCTTGGGAAAACGGAAGAAGAAGCTAAATTTCCTTCTCGTCCATGGGTTAAATTAATTTGCAGCTCTTGCTATTACCAGGATTGGCGACGTTGATTGCTCGATTTGCTACAACTTCCGGAGGAGACTATTTTATCCTCCTTCGTGATTAAGAAGAGAGAGAGAGAGAGAGAGAGAGAGAGAGAGAGAGAGAGAGAGAGAGAGAAAATTAATAACGAAAAGATCAGAAAAGACGGAATAAATAAGAAAGTCCAAAGATAAATAACGTAATATGATAGTAAAATATATAAAGTGATAGAGTATGCATGCTCATCGATGATCATTCAAATTCATTTCGCAACCTATGTGACATTAACATCGACAAAAGTGAAATTATCGCATGAATTATCAACCGGATATATAATTATATCCTCGAGTTATTCGCATAACGTTCGACCATTTATCATATCATTATATTCTTTAAGAATTCTATTATTTCTCTTCGTTTATAATTGTCGTCATTTGGTTATCCTAGGATAAACGAAATTTCGAACGAAAATGACAATTCGTTCGAGATTCAAAATAATTACAAAATACAAAGTAAGGTGTGCCGTGTTTGAAAATAACGCACAGTAAGCATTTAATAGATAGTGGATGCGTACCGTTACAAAGATTTCTCGTTTCTTTCAGGCGCGAAAGATATACGAGCTTGAGGTATATCGTTTACCATGTTTCTCTTTTACTTTTTTCTCTCGAAGGTGAGTTCGAGATGGGGAAAAAAAAGAAAATATCGCAGGTAAACGTAGGAAAGCTTTGAAAATTTTTTACTTAGACGGAGGATGTGCGTAGAGCCTCGTTGACAGTAATGAGATAGTAAAATCCTATTGCTCTTACTTTGCACTGCCCTGAGAGAAAAGTTATGTAATATGTTAGACTCGCGTACACGTACGTATATGTTCTCGCGAGATCCTTTTTCCTCTCCTTCGAAACATTATTTTCGATTTCCCTCTTCTGTAGAATGGATTAACGGGTGTGGCTATTTTAACGGGACACCTTGTACAAGAACGGACATGGGAAGAGAAACCGGCCTTAGTACAATGCACGAGTAAAACGTTACACGCTAATACTCTAATTATTTCGAGTCAACATTTTCCTAAATCAATGTTATTTTTTTGGAAAACCAAAAAATAACAAGAGAGAGAGAAAGAGAGAGAGAGAGAGAGAGAGGGCACACAATAAAGCATTAAAAGAATGGAAGAGTTAAAGATGTTCCGTTTAAGCTGGCTTAAAGCCGCACTAACGATTAGAAACGATTAGAGCAATTTTTTCTCAATGTCAAAGGTGACCATTCGTGACGGGAATACATGCACGTGCGTTTGCGTTTTCTCTGTACGTGCGCCACGGAACTAATGAATAATAAGACGCGATCAACGAAAGTGGTCCATGAAATCAAAGATTCTCTGTTATTCTTCTCTCTCTTATTCTACATACCATTTTTCTTTTTCCTCGGTTCGTCGATAGACGATGACGTAACGAGGCGTTAGCGTCTTCTCGGAGAAAGATCAAATGTTCCTTTCTCTCTCTCTCTCTCTCTCTCTCTCTCTCTCTCCCTCTCTCTCTCTATCTATTCATCTATCTATCTCTTCTTTACTTGGCCTTTGCCAGAAAAGCTGAGAAAAATTTCTTTCTAAGAATGCTGAAGCTTCCATCTTTGTATCTACCAATCTTCTTCGTCATCGAAATCGTTCGCATTGATTCGCGACGACGTAGACTCGTCTTTCCATGCTTTTCAGGAAGTCAAAGGAGCGTCTATAAAAGTGGAGAACGTTTATTGATACAATACGTCTCGAAAGAAAGGTATCAACCGATGTTTATCATCGGACAAGAGAAAGGAATAAGAGAAAGAGAGAGTGAGTGAAAGAAAGAGAGAAAAAGAGATCATAAAGAGCATTTTTCAAGAATACGACTTACCAAGATATATTCGGCGCGAAAAGGTTAAATGACTGTTAGTCTTCTGTCAGGAGTAAACATGGCGGTAACGATATTCTGGAGTTAACTACAAAGAAAAAGAGGGTTTCTCTTTCTTTTCTCTTTCTTCCTTCGGTCGATGAGTTCGCATATTCGCAAGGAGAAATATTATTCCAAATGTGAATCGAAGCGTCACCCTCGTGCACGCGTACTCGTGTAAAGACGGCATATCGTAGAAAATGGACAGAAGGAGAAGGAGACAGCGAGAGAGAGAGAGAGAGAGAGAGAGAGAGAGAGAGAGAGAGAGAGAGAGAGAGAGAGAGAGAGAGAGGGAGAGAGAGAGGGAGAGAGAACGAAACAACCGTCCGGTGCATGTGAACGCATGCGAAAAACATCTCTATTGATATCTTCCTCTCCTCTCCTATCAAATCTTAGCAAAAGTCAGAAGGATCTAAAAGTATCATCAAAGCAAAAGAAAGAATAAAATTCGGTGAAAGGACAAGAGAGGACAAGTCTTTCTCACCGGATCCAAGGCAGCTTCAGGAGCCATGTTTACAGAAGAGTCTATTAAACCTTAGAAAAGGGAGGAACGAGATGAAAGGGTTGAGATCTATATATACACGGATGCAAGCAAAGAGACAGACACGCGCTTACGCGCACACGCTTAAACGATTATCATACGTACAGGCTTTTACGATCTCAGCTAAGTAGACGACGACCAATGATCCAGCCAGCGACAGCAGCAGCAGCAGCAGCAGCAGCAACAACAACAGCAAAGTCGTTCGCCACGATACACCGTCATTTGTAAAACGAATTCATATATAGGCGCGCTTACTCGCTGTATGGAGCAATGCGCGTCACCTGACGCCGTTGCTCGGCCGACTTCTCCCTCTCCCACTCCCTCTTCCTCCTCCTCCTTCTACTCCTCTTTCTTCTTCCTCCTTTATTATCCCGTTTCACCGTTACTTTTCGCTTTTCCTTTTCACCGTTTTCCCTTCTTCCGTGGTGTGCCTCGGCACAACTTAAGAGAGAAACGGATCGAACTCACGATTCTCGTACGTCCAACTGCAACCCAGACGCAACCCAGGACGCGTGTTTACACAGCACCGTTTGCATCCTTCCACTACTCTTCCGCTCGGTATTCTCTCTCTCTCTCTCTCTCTCTCTCCCTCTCACACGCCTCTACGGCTTCGACACCCCCACCCAGTCGTGCTTTCTCTCTATCTCTTTCCTCCTTCGTTTTCGTCTTCTTTACTTCGATCCTCTTACAAATTCCTCTTACAAAGGAGGAAAAAGAAAGCTCTTCTACTCCTTAGGACGTCGCGACACACTTCTCTCTCCGTCGTGCGCGCGCGCGTGCTACAACCCAGCTACCTTTTTAACGTTTTCTATATCTTTCTTTTTCTCTCCTCCAAGTTTGTCAGCGCTCCTTCTCGCATCGCCTATCCCTCTCTTTCTCTTTTACTTCCAATCGTAGCAAGCAGAAACGCGCGCGCGCGCGCGCGCATATACCAGGAGACGAGACACGATCTCCGCCGCCGAACACACATACACGCGCGTTCTTCCGTCTCTCTCTTTCGGCCGATTCTGGGCCGACTCTTCCGGTCTCGTGCACGCGAGAGAGACAAATACGCACGCATACACGCGAAAAATTGAAACGCACGCACACAAAACACGCTTCGACGATGGAGATATTTATTGAAATTTCTATTTGCCTGGCGCAGAGCTTAATTCGTCGTGCCAAAAGATTCGCGAGAACGATAGAGACGACGGTAGTTTTGTATCGGAGATACTTCGTCCGAGAGTACGATATCTGTTGGAAATTCGAGGGAAATGCGCAATCAAAAGTCTTCAGACGCGAAACAGACTCGCGCAGCGAGCTCGCCTCGCCGCGAACTATTTACGCGTTGAAAACTTAACTTAGAGCTTCCTCCTAGAACGGCGAAATAAGAAAGAAGCCGGAGGAGAGTTGCGTATACGAAAGTTTCCTCTTAAAGGTACAGATGGCGCATCGAGAATCAATTATTTCCTTTCTTTAAGTTGCCTGCTTTAAAAACGACAGAAACTTTTTCAACGATACGATTTATTTCGAAAGCCGGAACGAGAGATTTCTATAGTCGATAGTATTTTGAAAATTTCCCCGATACTTTTTCTATTTTGTACTTCGTCGTGATTGGTTAATTTAAATCATGCGACGATATATACGAAAACTCATTGGACCGTTGAGATTGCTTATATAATCGATGCAACGTTTCGACCAATAATAGTTGCGCTTTAACGAAACAATAATTATCGATACATATTATCGATAAGTCTTTGATCTTATCGAAACAAGCAAAGGGGGCGGGGGGGGTTCAAGACATATTGCGTCATACTAGCGCTCATGCTGTGTATCCTTTTGGTGCACGTGCACGTAGTAGGATTTTAACCTAAAATGTATTATTAACTAACAGATCTATAAATAGTTTGTAGAAGATAGATAGAAAGAGATATTTAACGGGTATTAAAAATGCATTAAATAAGACTACGTTATAAACTGTTTAATTTGTGTTGTAGTAGTTTCCCACTCGTTTGAGAAAGCAATATTCGCAAATATTCCCAAGTGTCTGATGTAGAGTTATTATTAATCCCTATGTTTTGTCTATGTTTGGATGTTTTAATGGTAGCGCAAGTAGAATTCTATATTTATTACACTTGTTAGTGCGGCTTTTTTTGTTTTTTTTGTTTTTTGTTTTTTTATATACATCCGAAGTAATTTTTTCTATTAATATATCTAATAATCGTAAAAAAGGATCAATTTGTTTCTTTTCTTTTTTTTTCCTCCCTCTTGAAAATCGGCACACCTACACGACAGTAGATTTTTTAACTATTAACACTTTTAATAATTTTTTAATTGTAATCACTTCAACAGCCATTGATACGTGAAATAAAATGGCAACTGGTATATTTGACAATTCACCAAGAGAGATGCAGTTGATTAATTCTGTAGACGATACAGATGCCAAAGAGGAATATAATAATGTTGAAAAAATAAGACTGAGAAAAGAATTGGGACTATTGGAAGGTGTTGCCATTATTTTAGGAATCATATTTGGCTCGGGTAAAATCCTTCTCTATTATTGAAAATTGTAAAGGATAATAAGGAAATTGAATTTGTCTATATAAACGTTTCAAAACTTTCCATAGGCATATTTGTATCCCCGAAAGGTGTAATACAAGAGGTCGGAAGCGTAGGAGTTTCCTTGATTATATGGGTATTATGTGGACTATTGTCTATGATAGGAGCATTGTGTTATGCCGAGTTAGGCACAAGTATACCGCGCAGCGGCGGAGATTATGCTTACATTCATGAAGCCTTTGGTGCTTTGCCATCATTTTTGTATCTATGGGCTGCCAATCTAATTTTTGTGTAAGTAATAAATATTTTTATTAAGTAATAAATATTTTAAGGTCACTCGTGTAAAAAGTTCAAGCCGATCCAATTATTTTTATTGCAGGCCTACAACCAATGCTATAATGGCATTAACCTTCGCGCAATATGTTCTACAACCATTCTTTCCAAATTGTTCTACGCCGGACAATGGTATAAGATTAATTGCAGCTGTAACTATATGTGAGCATTACTCCATATACTTCCATTCGTTCGATTTATATATATATATATATATACACCTTCATACTCGAATTAATAATAATATCTTTGAAATTTTTTATAGGTTTCTTGACATTCGTCAATTGTTATGATGTAAAAGAAACAACAAAGATGCAGAATATATTTATGTTTGCCAAAATTGCCGCTTTAGTGATTATTATTATAGCTGGAATATCGTGGTTGTGTATGGGTGAGTTTAGAATTGTTAAATTAACATTGATTGAGCGACATTAAACGCTTTTACATGTCCCTTTATTCGTATTCTTTAACAGGACATACAGAAAACTTTGAGAATGCTTTTGAAAATACAAATACAGATCCTGGAAAAATTGCAGTGGCCTTTTATTCTGGAATATTTTCATACTCTGGATGGAACTATTTAAACTTTATGACTGAAGAATTGAAAAATCCTTATGTGTAAGTTTTTAACACTTTGTTATTGATTATTTTAAATTCATATCAAGTTCATATTCTTGTATAATAAATTTTTATTTCAGAAATTTACCACGCGCAATTTATATATCACTGCCTTTAGTCACATTAATCTACGTACTAGCCAATGTTGCCTATCTGTCAGTTTTGACGCCAACCGCGATGATTGCTTCGGATGCGATTGCAGTAGTTAGTATAATTTTTTTTTATAAAATATATTTATTTGCTCCTCGTGCGTGTCTAAAAACTACTTGTACTACTTTTGCGTTTAGACGCTTGGAGATCAACTTCTTGGAGTTATGGCATGGGTTATACCTGTTATGGTTGCTATTTCCGCATTTGGAGGATTAAGCGTTCACATTATGACTTCTTCCAGAATGTGTTTTGTTGGTGCCAGAAATGGACATTTTCCATCTATGCTTAGTCATATCAATGTATCAAGATTTACTCCTACACCTGCTTTAGTATTCCTGGTTTGTATTTTCTACATAATGTACGCATGTCTGCGTGTGCGCCTGTGATTATCTATTAAAATCGTAAATATATTCGATTCTTCTTTTTCAGTGTATATTGTCATTAATAATGTTATGTACGAGTGACATATTTGTATTGATAACATATTGTAGCATAGTGGAATCTTTCTTCATTATGTTATCTGTAGCTGGTATTTTATGGCTCCGATATAAAAAACCTAATATGATTAGGCCGATAAAGGTATATTCACTAAGTCATTTTATAATATCGATTTATGCACTTTGTTCCATTCTTATAGCATTATTCATTTCATAGGTACCTTTATGGATTCCTATAACGTTTGTAGCATTATGTGCATTTCTGGTATTGGTGCCCTGTTACGAAAGACCTTACGAAGTTGGTATGGGTATTTTAATAACATCCTCCGGTATTCCTGCTTACTTCATGGGCGTTACATGGCAAAATAAACCAATTTGGTTTCAAAAAATTAATGGTACGTACAATATTATCTATAATAATATGGCCCGTAATTTTAACATTTTTCTATTATAAATTTTATTTGTATTTTAATTTTAAAACAGTCAAAGCCACTCATATCATACAAAAATTATTTCTGTCGGCGAGAGAGGAGGCAGAAGATACGGAATAAGGAAATCGTGTTCATCTTGGTAAATAAAAGAAGAAGATACGCAAGGTATATAAAAACGGTCCTTGATTTTTAGCAGCTAGTTCTTTTCTTTTTTTTTTCTTTTGTTTTTCTTTTCTTTTTTTTTTTTTTTTTTTCTTTTCCCTTCCAGTCGGTCATATTCGATCTCAGACATTACGGCGAATAAGTGATGATAAACAAAAAGAGACATCGTACAGTTTTTCCTTAGTACTTGATTTAGTTAACTTGATTTAGTTACTTGATTTAGAAACTTGATTGCAATAAAAAGTTTGCGAAAGATCAAGCTGTACGCTTATCTCATAATATTGATGAGTAGATCTGAATTTCAATTCTTTTTCTTTTTTTTTTTCTTTTTTCTTATTTTTTTTATATGCTTTTATATGTATTTTCAATATTTGTCTCGAATAATAATGATCTTTTGATGCAGCATATAACGAAAAGAAACAATTACTTTTGAGACTGAATTTCTTTTTTCTATAAACATTATACTTTCTCAACATGATTATTCAATAGATGTTTAAATAAAAAAAAATTTTCTACAATGGATATACATATATTTCTGTAATATATTATTCCGTACGTATGTATAAACATTTCGTATTATTAATGTGTTATATTTTCTATCCTTTAAACGAATATAGTATTGCTTTTATGTATACCATAGTTATTAACATAAAAAGGATTTTATTAAATTCTACTAACAATATTTATGATTGTACTTACGTAGATTGTACGTAATAAGATAAAATACGACCGCTTTTAAAGTTCACAGATTTAATAATTACATCGCAAAGGTATAAGAATGTTCATGAAATACATACGTTTAATTATTATTGTATCTACTATTTAATTTATTGCTCGTTGAGGATTAAAAATTTGACAATTTTTTATACTATTTAAGATGTGGTTATCTTCACTGTGATAAGAATAATAAAGTATTTTATAATCATACCAAAGTAATTTTCAATCCAAAGGGACTTGTGTAAGTTGAGATTATGAATTAATATTTTATTATAATTTTATTGTAATATATACATATACATACATGTGTATATGTACACCACACACACACACACACACACATGTATATATATATATCAATTGTGTACAATTGAGTACGGTTAACTAATAAAAAGAAATATTCCTTTCTAATACATTAGTCGATTAAATTTGTAATGTAAGGGGAGAAAAAAGAACTGCAGAGTCCTTCGATCGAGAGCATAAGGAACTTTCCGCGGTTGTGCCTTTAAAGTAAAAAATATAATTATCGATTAAATTGCAAGTTTAATTTCTATGAAACTTAACCATCCCATATGGATACAAGCGCACGAACGTAGTCGGAGAGATTGCACGATTCTACGAAAAAATAGTAATATATCTTTGTTTACGAAAGAAATACTTTAATAGAGTATGACGAGAGTTACGCATAAACTTAATCAATATGGAAGCAATAGTTTAACTAAACGTTATAGAGAATTGGATCGCATTATTGAAAAAAGAGGAGAAAAAGAGATATTGTTACTTCATACAATTTTTTTTCTTGCAGTTATCTTCTTGGAATATTTCTGTTGATTTGAGTTCGTTCTAAAAGGATGACGAATTATCTTTGTGACGTAATTCTTCATATTACGTAGAAACTGATAGTAGACTCTTCTTATAATTTTCTTCGAATTCACTATAAATATCAATCGGATTTCGGATATTTTGGAGGAAAAAAGAAGTAACAAAATAAGTTTTTTCTTTTTCGTTTATCGTTAATGCGTAGATGGAAACGATACTTTCATTCTTCCTTATTTATCATGTTTCTCCGAATGAGATTTTGATCTTTTTCCCATCTTATATGAGAATTATAAGCCATATATTATTTTTATTTGTTAGATTCATTATCAAATTCACGTCTTCATATAGACGTACGAGTGAATTTTATTTTTTTTTTCTTCTAGATATTTTGAATAAAATGCATCAATTATATAATTTACATCTTACTTGAGAAATACCCAATCTAATATCAATGATTTGTGTTCATATAATCACATGGATAATTTTTTACAGAAAGATTGTAAAATATGTTTATATCTGAAGTACTAATCTACATGCAGGATAACTCAGGTTTTAATGTTCAAACTTTTTATGTAAGCTGCCTTTCTGTGGTCAGCTAAGATTGAAAGTAATTTTCGCCAATAATGCATATTTAATAATTAGTTAGCTATTGATGTTCACACCAAAATGCCATTAATACTTACGAATCGAAAATATGTAAATATGCATTTCTTTTACTGCTTCTGTAACGGGAATGCCTGAACTGCGCTGCGAGAAATAACGTAGTATTGAATAACTGGAAGTGACAAACAGTAAATTCATTTTTTTGTTTAATCAATTTATATTCTAATGCGAAATAATTATGTGCCTATGCGAAAGAATATTTACATTATATTGTAATTATGACTTGTTATCGATCACTTTCTCGTTTTTTTTATTAAAAATTAAAAACTCATGCGTAACGATGATAAATTAATTGTCCAATTTTATGACGTCCATTTACAATTATAATAAAAACTGATTAAATTACCTTTATGTATTGTTATTCATTTTATCCAACAATTATTATTGATTACATATCCGCAAATAAGTATTCGATTTTAAATAAAATTTTTGCGGAGGAATAAAATGTATCAAGATATTATCTTACAAATAAAATTGCAATATTAATGGCATACGTCTATTTTTTTCATGTATTTATCATAATTTTTTTGGCAAGAGACTATACAAGAGAAATAATTGTATTTGGTAAAGTGGAAAAAATATGAGAAATGCGGTAAAGTTAAGTTAAAATGTTAAATAGTTACAAATTTATGTTTTTATCTTAGTCTTCTCGAAGAATACACTACCGAATCTAATAATTCTTATAAATTTATCTTAGTCTTCTCGAAGAATACACTATCGAATCTAATAATTCTTATAAATCCAAGAATTTGGATAAATGCTTAGTTTACCGAAACGCTCCGAGTTTTTTACATTTAGATCCACAATTAAATAACACATTTATCGATCGATAAAAATCTATTTGAAAAAAAAGAAAGGCAAGTATTTACGTATATTACGTACATTATCGATAAAAGTACTTGATGTATACTCCGATGCATTTATCTGATACCAATGTTGATATCAATGTTAATATTAATTGATCTGGTGATTAAGTTTCTCCCCCTCCTTTAAAATATCTTAATTTTAAATTAGCGGGAAAGTCGACGATGATTCGTCCATCCAGACTATCCGGATCGTACCGGAAAGTCAGATCATATAAAAGAGGGTAAGTTTAGAAGAGTTCCAATAGTACGCTGTTATCCTTCTGACAGAGATGATCACATTGGGGGGTATCGTTGTTACATTGGCACTCGTTGCCATTGTGACTTTCTTTTTTACAATCTACGCCAAGTTAGTATCGTAAAAATTTATATTTGAGAAAAAGAAAAAATGTAGAAGTAGAAATAAGTGAATTAAATATTTTTTGTTTTTTTTTTCTCCTCTTTTCTTCAGATACAAATTGAATTATTGGAAAAAACGAGGCGTCGAAACGTTGCCGGCCGACTTAATATTCGGTAACTTTAAAGACGCCGTACTCTTTCGTTCAGCTCCAGGATGGCATTTAGGACAAATTTACAAAGAAGCCAAACAGGATGCACCATACATCGGTTTCTACATCTTCCACAAGCCCTGCTTGCTCCTACGTGATCCTGATATTATCAAGCAAATCATGATAAGAGATTTTAACAATTTCTCTGATCGACACTTTGCCGGCTCGAATCAAAAGGACAGTATCGGAATGAAGAATCTCTTTGGCATGAAGAATCCAACTTGGAAGTATCTCAGGTCGAAAATTACGCCGACATTGACACGTGAAAAATTAAAGCGAATGTTCCCACTTATGACGGAAATTGGCAATCCAATGATGGACTACTTAAAGAGCCAACCTACGGATGAAAATAATATCAAATTGGTCGATGCTCAGGAACTTAGTTACAAGTATACTACGGACTTGATCGCTTCTGTCGCACTTGGCACCAAAATGGATTCCTTCAATTATCCCAACGTTGAATTTTGTGCCGCTGGTAAATTTGCAAATAAATCTTCATTTTTTATAAATTATATTCTATAATTGACCATGCTGTTTGGCCGCAGTCTCAGAATTTTTCCATGGATTCAAAAGAATGGTCGCCCTCGTTACGGTTTTCTTCATGCCCGAATTGGTCGAGATAATCGGCACGAAGATACTTTTCAATTCCACTTTTATAAAAAAGATCTTTTGGAGTGCTATGAACGATCGTGAGAGGACCGGCGTAAAAAGAGGGGATTTCATCGATTCGTTGCTCAAATTGAAAAATGAAAAACAAAATCCGGATTACAGTGAGTATGATTTTATAAATCTCCTATTCCTAGATTGCCTTTGGGAAATGTTCCCAAGAGGAAATAATCCATGAAATCATTATCCTTCAGAGTTCGAGGGTGAAAATCTTTTCTATCAATCGGGCACCTTCTTCTCCGGATTCGAGTCGAGCTCTGCGTGTATGTCGTTTACGCTTATGGAGCTTGCAAATAATATGGAATGCCAGGAACGTGCCAGGAAAGATGTTAATAAGGCCATCGACATGTATGGCTGGACATATGAAGCTTTCAACGAAATGAAATATCTCGATCAGGCTATAGCCGAAGGCTTGAGATTGCATCCGCCTGTATCTACGATCGATCGGTACACTCGTCAAAATTATCAGGTGTGCGCCGTTAAAAACTCTACAATTAAATAAATTACATGGCCATACAAAGATAAATTTCATAACAATGAAATAATGTTTTCATAACAAATTGCGATAAACATATACTCGAATTATCGTATTATCTTCTCGATGAAGTTAAAAAAAAGTAGACCCAAAGAATCATTAAACTCGATTGATGTCTCTGAATAATTTTTAATGATATTTTAACTTGGATCAAGCATTTAAATAGATGACATATTTTAATTAGATAAGAATTTTGTTTAAATTTTTAGTACATAAGGAAAAAGGTCGAAACCAGATCATAAAGATTAGATAGAAAATTTTCAAGTATTATACTTTCTTATGATCATCGTGTTATCGAGAATAAGATAATGAAGTTATTTATTATAGGAAATTACTTCGTTACTACAAAAATATTTAATGCATTTATCACATCCGTTTAGATACCGGGCACTGATATAATCATCGAAAAAGGTACTCCAATTTATATATCTCTTTACGGCCTTCAAAATGATCCAAAATATTTCGCCGATCCAGAAGTCTATAATCCAGATAGATTTGCCGAAAATAATATTATTTCCGATGCGTATATACCTTTTGGCATAGGTCCGAGGATGTGTGTAGGTACGTAAGAAAATATTAAGATCATATTAAAAAAAGAATGAGATCAATCATTTTTATTTATTCTAGGAATGAAAATTGGTCAGCTTCACGCAAAGATGGTACTTGCCTTTCTTCTACGGGAATACACGATTTGGCAAGAAGAGAAAGATGAAACTATTTTGGATCCACGTTCGACATTTACAGCTGCAGCAAATGGAATAAACCTTCACTTTAAAAAGATAACATGATGATGAGAGACTTAGACTACATTCATCCAGAATTTCTAATTTAAGCTTCGCATTACTTCTCATTATGATCAAGTTGATCGATTTTCATAGGCACTATGTATTTTACATATATATATATACACATGCTATATATTTGTATAACATTTTTATGATATTTCGTCAAGTAACATCATGTTAGTTACTTCGATTCAATGTTAAATATCTTCTTATTTTTTTTTTTTTTTTTTTTTTCTAATCAGACTTTATCGCTTATATCGATTCCACTCAAATTTGTCTGATTTATTTGAATTAATTAAATTATAGCGATCTTATATTATCAACCAGACGTAATATTGATTACAATGGTATTGACTGCAAAAATAAGAGGAACTTGATAAAGATTTTTTCAGATTCATCTTCAGATAAATTTGAAGCAACTAATATTTAAGAAATGTAAATATATCTTATAGTATTTTACCATTGCGATATAATCATTTACGATATAATATTTATTCTGTTTAATCTAGATACTTGTACTATTTTATACAATTTAAATAAAAGATATATACACACATATATACATACATATATATATATATATATATATAAAGTTAGCCTTTAGTTTCTTTTATGAAAAAATTAATATATGAAAAAAAAACGGTAATTCGAATGTCTTCAAATTCTCTTCAAATCCTCATTACGTTACGTCGAAATCGTCGAATGTCTTTCCCTAGATTATAATTACATTATATTCATTTAAATTACATTATATTAATTTTGCGCCTGAAAATAGATATCATTTCATACTTCCCCCGATTTGTTGCTCGCAAAGTCATCAGTCGGTAAAGATTATTTTGAGCGCCTGCGATATGCAACTCCTTCATACATCTTTAAAAGTGCAATGCCTTTCTACAGAGGGGCTTAAAAAGTGATATCTAAAATCATTAGTATAACAACAATACGATAATGACTATTTATGTAAATTTATACACTGATAAATGAATCTAAGTGAAATTGAAGATTCATTGTTTGTTCTTTTCTTTTGGCAAATTTTCATTATCATTTAATTCTTGCTAACTTATTTATTATTGCTTACTTATTTATTTCGATTAATCTTATTTTATTTTATCTTATCTCTTAGACGATAAGATAATTATTTACGACGCGGTAGCCATTTAATTACTATTATTATTATTGATGTTGTGCTCTTCGCGTCAGTCCATTTTCTGATTCATTTGGAAGTTCCACGTCCGCTTATGAAACATATTTCTTCTATCAAGTGATAAGTTGATTTAAAAGTGTAACAAATTAATTATCGTTCAATAAGTGTGACAACTTATCTGATTAATTAATAAGATAAATCATCTTCTCTTACAATGGCCATTACATTTGGTACATACATGCATAGTTTTATTTCTATTGTATATTTTGTGCACGCGTATAATTCGACGTCCAAGGTCGAAAAAAAAGCCAATTAATCAAAACAACATTTGTAGGACCAGATTACATTAACAATGGACTCCTCTTCATTCTTACTCTTACCTTTTTACTTTATCTTTGGATGAAATACCGCTATTCTTATTGGAAGAGACGAGGAGTACCTTCTGTGCCAATATATTCATTGTTACGACATTTCAAGGATAGTTTTCTCATGCGCAAATCGGTCAGCATGGTACTCGGTGATCTTTACCTCCAAGCAAATGATGAGGACAAATTTATCGGAATATATATCTTACATAAACCTTTCTTATTGATCAGAGACAAAGAACTCGTTAAGTCCATGCTAATCAAAGATTTCGACGTATTCTGCAATCGATATTTCTCGATAAAATCGTCCAAGGACTTGGCTACGATAAATCTTTTTTCCGTAGATAATCCTGCGTGGAAGCATCTTAGGTAATAAACATGAAAATTCATGGAACTAATGTACGGCGAAATAGATAGACGATGATATCGTTAATTATATTACAGGATTAAAATGTCGCCGATATTTACTAGTGGAAAGATAAAGAAGCTTTTCTATTTCATGCTCGAGACCTCCGAAACGATGAAAGATTTTCTTCAAGGACAATCCGATAAAAGATCGATTGTCACGATCGATGCCAAGGACGTCTTCATGAAATATAGTACCGATATTATATCTACGGTGGCTTTCGGGGTTCGAACGAATTCGTTCGATGGATCAGTATCTGAATTCTATCAGCAAAGTTAGCAAGTTTATTTATTATCGAAATGGTCGGATCGAACGATCATATGGGCATAGTAATCGGTATTATTTCTATATTCAAAAAACAGGTAGATTGCCCTTTAAGCCAACCTTTAGATCGATGTTCACGATGTTGCTAGCTTTCTTTTTTCCCGAGCTAACCGATAAAATTGAGTTTAAGATGATGGGAGAAGCTAGAGAGTACTTCAGTAAACTTTTCTGGGATACGCTCAACGAACGGGAAAAGTCTGGAACGAAGAGAGGGGATCTTATTGATTATCTCATAGAATTAAAAAATGAGAAACAGAACGATTACTTCAGTAAGATGCAAAAATCAGCAATATCTTTTTAAACGATTCCAATCAAATTCATAGATCTACGTTTATATACGCATATTGTTATTTAGAATTCGAAGGGGACGTATTACTTGGTCAATCGCTAATATTTTTTATCGCTGGCCGAGAGAGCACCACGACTACTATATGCTTTGCCCTTGCTGAACTCGCCAAACAACCACAATTACAAGATAGATTGAGACAAGAAATTCATGAAGTATTAAAATCAAAAGGATTCACTTATGAAGCCGTGCAAAAGATGAAATACCTGGATCAGGTGATATCGGAAACTCTCAGATTATATCCGCCGGCGCCCATCATAGATAGGGTTGCTACACGAGATTACGTGGTAATTAGTAGCGAGACGTTAAAGAATGTTAACAATTTTTATGCACTCATATATATATATATATATATATATAAACACACACACACACACACACACACACACACACGTGTACGCATGTACATTTCTATTTATTTTACGTAGATTCCCGGAACAGATGTAGTTATAGAAAAAGGAACGCCCGTTTATGCGGTACTAACTGGCATGCATTTAGATCCAAAGAACTTCCCAGATCCATTGCGTTTCGATCCTGATAGATTCAGCGACGAAAGAAAGGCCGATATTCCTGCATATACTTACATGCCCTTCGGTGATGGACCGAGGATCTGCATCGGTATGTCGATCATACGTTTGCGTGCTGAAACAATCTGATATAATAATTATTTCTCTTCGTTTCGTTTCACAATTCCAGCCATGCGGGTCGGTCTATTACAAACTGCAGTTGCTATTATCACGATAATTAATAAGTATGAAGTTTCATTGGATCTAAAGGGAAAATATAAACCAGACTCTACTAATATGTTTATGACGCCTTGTAACAACTTCACGTTGCATTTAAAGAAAATAACCATGGATGATTAAAAGTGTAAAATATGTATTATAACGATTATAATGATCGTCTAAATGAAAACGTAGTAATGTAAAAGAAAATTGATTATTATACTATATATATATATACAATTTTTAACTTTATAAATAAATATACATATATATTGTATAAAAGAAGCTTGCGATCAAGCATTATTAATCGTTACCTCTTTGCATTCGTATTCACTTATGCGCATTGATTTTGTTACTTCGGTAAAAGAGAAAGATATTTCTTGAATTCAGGTAACACGCAATCTCTAGGATTCAATGCTGGTTCCGCGGTAAGAAGATCGCTCAAGTATTGCGGCAAAAAACACAGAATGCCTTTACTCGCTAATCTGGCCCAATCGATGGGTTGTTGGATCTGCTTTACATTCACGAAACAGTGCGTTATTTTTTTTCCTGACGGATTTACGTCGTATGGAGGTCTGCAATGGAGGACAAAAAAAAAAAAAAAAAAACAAGAAAAAAGAAGTAAGAAAAGAATATCACGGTAACGTTACTTTTGTTAACATACTTATTTCTCTTTTAACGTAATAAATACAGACCGTGCTTGTACTACCGTACCACCTCCTGCCTCGATGAGCCTTTTAAATTGATCATACTTTTCTTCCGAAGCTAATAACAAGGCTACCATGTCATGGAAAGGACCATACGGTTCCTTCAATAATTTTATTCTCCATCTATGAGCTGCAGCTGCTATCGCATTCTCGATCTCTCCTGTAGGATCCGGTATAATTCCTTTACTTTTTGGATTACCCCATTCATATTTTTCTTCCTACAATTTTTATACGAAATGACAGATCGTCTTAAATATATCGTACGCATCTTTCAAATAAACTGATACCAACGTCAAGAAAATTCCCATTAGCTTCGGAATCTCGTAAATACATGCAATGTAACACCCATTTTCCTGCGGCTATACTGCCGAGCATTTTTTCATTTCTCGATGGTCTTAAACACATTAAATGCGTTGCACTCGGATCAAAACTGCCATCGTTAACTACATCTCCACCAAGATTTCGTATTACTTCTTCGTACGTTGCTCTGTCCTGTTACGGAAATCAAATGTTACGACGATGTGATGCTGTGCATTTCTTTCTTTTTTTTTTTGTTCCCCGCCCTTAAATAATTCTTCTTTTATGCAAACCCGTATTCCAGAAAGCATGAATTTCCGTTTGATCAAAGGCTGGCTCCGATCGTCTCTATCTTCCAATGTAATATCTTGATTCGTATAATCATTATTTCGAGTGTCTTCATTCTCATTCGATTCATCATATATCGTGGACTATGTCGCAAAAAAAAAAAAAAAGAAAAAAAAAAGAAATTTCAATGTAAACAGAAAGGATATATGAAAAATCGATTAATCTATAGCAAATAACTTACAGGTCTGATCAGCGTACGATGGTCAGGATCTTCCCATCCCACAGTGTCCGGCTGTGAATCTTTAGCAATATCTGTAAAGATCATTTCACATAGCTTATATTAATTCTACCATCAATTCAAGTATTTACGTACATTTACACATATTATCCAGAGGTTCTGTATTTTCATATGGTTTCCCGTTTTCGTCGGGTAACGATCTGCCTTCGGCACTTGAGGTTCGTTTAAGTGCTTGTTCCAACTGAGCTATTTGCCTGTATATATGATATTACTTCGTTGATATATGAATATTTTTAACGTTTGAAGAATTTCAAGAACCTACGATAACTTACAGATTTATTTGTACATTCGGACTAATACTCTGTTGAGAGAAATTTAATTTTCTATTGATCGAGGCATTTTTAGGAGGTGTATCTTTGTTCTGTTCCACAGATTTATCTTCTTCCGGTAAATCGTTATTGACCTTCTCAAACGTTGATAACGTCGACATATTTTCTTCCTCCTACAAATATACACGATATTTTGATAAACGTATAGATCGTGGATATTTAGTAGTGTGTAATCACCTTTGTTCTTTGTCCTTGCATTTTCAATTGTTCCCATAATTGTTTTTTCAAGTCAGACAATGGCTAATAACATTTCATTCATAAACATTGACGAAGGAGAAAAGAAATTAAATGAATGCTACGGTACGTACTGTGCTAGGAGCTCTTCTTTTTAAAGGGGGTTCTTCTACGCGCAAATCTGGAAAATCGTTCACCCATTTGATCCATGCCTTTCTCGTATCTGGAGAAGGATTTGGCTTAATAACTTGACCGTACGGTGTTTCTGGCGTGGATACGTGAAAGGGAAAAGGTGGTGTACTGTTCATAACCAAACCAAGTCGTTTATTTATCAATGGCGTTCCATCGAGATTCGTTTCTTGATTCTGCATGTAAATCAATCAACATGTATACCATTATGATATTTATGATAATTCATTTATTAAGAAATATTTGTGAATTATTTGACTACCTTGACTTGAGATAATTGTCGTTTTGGAGTAATAATCTGTCTGGGAATAGACGCTGTAGGCTTTTCTCGATTTTCCTCCTTTGCTAAAGAATTTTCTTTCGTACCAGTCACATTCGCTGCTTCCGGAGATCTTTCTGGGGCTATCATAAGCAAAGTTTACAATAAAAATATTATCATAATATTATGAGCATGTCCATTATTTACCCATTGTTTCGCCAACGAGATAAGGCGTTTCGTCTAAGCGTTTTACTCTTGTCCCACAATCCTTCAACCATTCAGCTGTAACAGCTGGCAAATTCCATTTAACCGCTGCTTTGTATTTATTTCCTTCGGGTGTAGGACAAACTAAATGAGTACTGGCGTAAGTATTTTTTTCATTATTTGTCTTACGTGCAAGTATGTCTTGGCATCTAAAGGACAAACGTAATTCGTAACGTAAGGATACAGTAATACTCGTAACGTAAAGATATGAAATGATATCTTACAAAGCTCCAAGTTCTTCTGCCAATCTAGAAAGATATATTCTTTCTACTCCTGTATACATGCTTAAAGTAACGATACAACCCGTTAAAGGATTTATATCTTTACTTATAGAAAATGGTTTATGATAATATTCTATGTCGACTATTTGTTCCTGATTTCTACAATCTTCCTGGAAGGACAAAGAATATATATATATATATATGCAGTTATTAGTTGACGGTGATTTATATCAGTTTTATCATTCAAACTTACGACAAATAAATCAGTGACAATTTCATTAACTGCGTGTCTCAATGATGCTCCGCATGTAGGCACAATGGCAAAATCTGGGATCCCTGAATAAACATTTGAAACAACTTCACCGCCTAAAGCAGTAATACTATCGTGTACGTCGTCGTCATCGAAGCCTGTTATAACGAATGTGAAACCTATGATGGAGGAGTATTTTATATTATTCAACTGTTTTATATCACTTTTACACTTTTTTCTAAGTCAATTAATATTACCGGTAAATATTTTTACAGTACATTCTGGATCTTCTTGGCTAAATGGTACTGAGCTATTGTTTCCCGACTCTCTGTTTTCAATTATTTCTGACATTGGTGCTCGTCGATTATTACTTAATTTAGTAGTATTCTCCTTGGATATTTCTTGTCCCTTCTCATTTATGTCAGAGGTATATGGTTTTAGAAATTCTTTAACTGATTTATCCTCGACTACATTCAATAAGTGATTTTTTGATTACACACATACACACACACACACACACACACACATATGTATGTGTATAACAAATTTTATAGTTATTATTTAAGCGATTATCGTGCAATTCTTTATATATTACCAACAATATTTTGGAGATATTGATTTAAGATGTTCTCTTCATTTGTTTCCTTGGATGCTTTATCAATATCGAAACGCGGAACCGGTGGTCGTTTCGGTGGTTGCAGCATTTGTAAATTCTACAAATGTTCAATTATCTTTATAAATTTACTTTACAATTCGCTTTTACACATAAACTTAGGTATGTTACCAGTAGAAAATAACCTTTTTACTTAGAGGAGAAGGAGGAGGCTCGTTACTCGTTTTCGTTGTTGTATCAAAACCTTTCGACTCGTACAAAAATTGTTCCTCCGGTGCAGGTCTTTTCAATTTCATACTTTCCTCTATCCAATTAACGTTTAACATATATGGGCTAAGAATAATGTAGAACATTCTTGTAACATGTTTATTGAACGAGCTAAAGCTATGTTGTTCTTAATTGGCAATGATTTTGTCGACGTGCGACAATCTAATTAGAACATAGGGTAAGATTAGTGATAAGAAAATAAGTACCACAATCCTGCTGACTTGATTAATTTTAATTCGTTAGATGCTTTACTTTCATCTCCGATAATAATATGCGTCAAAGCGTCCGATATATCATTCAAACGTGTTGCACTACCTACATTTAAAATTCTATTGAGTTTATCCCTTTGATTCGTTGTAAATCCAGCAAGATAAATCTGCACATAAAATAATCCATCCAATTTGGATAAAACATGATATGATTGTTAATCTCGTGGAAAAATTAATGAATTAACTTACATTGCAACCATCTAAAAATGGTCCAGCCATTTTTGCTTCTTTAAGATTTAATCGATCTAAAATTGCAAGCTGTGCGCCTAATAAAAATACATTGCATTATTGTAACGATATCTGCTTGCAGTGTTTGGATATTTATAACTTTTACAATTACCTATTTTAGTCGCTGCAATGTCCATACAAGAAGCATTTGTAATTGTTGATGCTACACTTTCGTCCACATAATTATTTTGTGGTAATTCACTGGTAATAGTACTTATTGCCGAAAAGTTTAAACTCTCCATTTCATGCGCTACAATAAACAATCGCAAAACCTTATTGAACAATAAAATTATTATGCGTGTAATAGCACATTATTTTTTTAAGTAGACGTAAGATAAAGAAACGAACTGTACGTACCTTTCGACTTTTCTGGCGTTGAACATGCTTTTGTAGACTTTATAAGATAATTATTGAATGGCAATGCGTACCCAAGTTTCAAGCTTTCATATACCCATTCTGGCTTTAAACATGCTATGTTATTCTGCATAGCAAATTTTAACTTGTCGGTTAATGAACTATTTTCTGGTGCAACGACAATTTTAACTTTTAAACCATCTAATGGACCCATGAATGTCTGAAATATTAATGTATTAATTTTTAAGGTAATACGATCGAGCATTATGAAATAGCGTTAAATTAAATAGAATTACTCCTCCATTATTATTTATCAAATTCTTGATTTCTTCCTTTTGCCGTTTGGATAAGTTTGTTGATGTAACAATTAAATTCATAAAAACAGGACACTTATATTTATCGAATATTGGATCATCCGCTTTAATAAAATTATTTAAATTTTCCTCCCATATGGCAGCAACCCAATCCTTTGTAACAATCGGTATTTTCAATTCTACAGCTCTCTAAAAGAAATTAATATAATTAAAATAAAGTGTCATTATATTTTTTGCCATGATAATATATAAAGACAATATTGATTGAACTCACTTCATATTTTGCAGACATGACAGAATTGGTTACCAAGTGTGTCACACAATTACGTAATTGCTTTGTAAAAAAAGCCCCCATGTATTCTACCAGTTGTTGTACGTGATTCTGCAAAAATAATTCTGCATTAGTTGATGATAAGACATTTTATAATTCTAGTATAATAAGATATCAATGGTAAAAGTACTTTCATTTCTGGTGTCAAACCGGACACTGATATACAAAGTCCTCTCATGGCTGTTGTATAAATTGGGCTTGCACCTTCTGGAATGGGTTCTCCATTTAAAAAACACGTTAATAAACATTTTGGTCCAACTATCCTGCTAATGTATAAAGATTGATATAATTGTCAAATATAATAATCTTATTTGTAATAATCTTATTGCATGAATGCTATTAAATTAAATGACATTCCACTTACGAACACTTGAAATTTTGTAACTGTTGGAAAAAAATGCCTTTAAATTCTTCGAGTACAAATATATCCGTCTTATCGGGCTTCAATTTGCCACAATCCTCTTCTGTGATCCATACAGGCTTAATATCAAAATCGCAGCATTTCTAAAATAATGACATTAAGTAAGTTCTTACTCATTCCCCTATCGTATGGAATTATTTAATGACAATTTTAGAATTGAATACGAACATCAAAAGCATTCCACATATTTATCGAACATTCATTTTCAGATTTATATTTGTTTGGAATAACAAAGTATACATTTATGTTACAATCAATTTGACTTTCTTGGCTCACCATCGTTGAAACTGCAAAATAACAATAGTTCGTTAAGGAACGATAATCGAACGATGGAAAATCAATGTGTCGTACTAAATTGGCGTAAATCTAATGTATTGGACGTTTAAACATTTCTAAATGTGTACAAATGAGAAACTATTTATTTCGAAAGTTATTTCGTACCTTAGGTTATGTTCTTATTATATTTAATTCAAAGATTTCACTAAAAGAAGCATTCGTATTTAAATCACACAGAGGTAATCTATTAAATGCACCTTGCAGATCTTTTATTATTATAATGCCAATAATTAAGTATCTTATTTGTTATGCTTGACTTTTTCGTAATAGGAATATGAACGAATGGCCTCTTCGCGCTAAAAACTGACTACTCTAATTTTCGGTGACTACTCTTACTATCGACACGGTACATATCGATATTCATAATTTTACAGATACGCAATCGTTGTCGTTCATCGATAATTGATAAAACAATTCTCGTCGTTAATATTCTCCATATAGATAATGTATAAAAAGTAATAAATAAAAAATGAAATTATTTCATTTAGATCTTTATTCGATTTAGTTGAACCATTGAACTCGGTTTACTGCATACGTACATGCAACGACGATAAATTAACAAATTGTTGTTAAAAGTTAACAAATGTAATAATATACACTTGCAAAGTTGTCTACGTTGATCGATAGATTAAAGAAAAGTAAAGGAGGACACGATGAAGAAATATAATACAAGAAAGTGAGAGGAAGTTTTGTATTTGTTAGTTAAAAAAGAAAAAAAGAATAAACGAGGTAATTAATAAATTTCTCGTACATACGGATTGTGTGAAAATGACTGGATAATCGGTAAAATTATGGATGAAATTAATTAACGATCCATTTATCGTTGTTATTGAATCAATATGGATTCTTCGTCGATTGATATTGAACAATCGGATCATCCTTATCGTTTAGATGGCAATATAATTGTTTCTAATCGAACGTAGGTTTGCCATTGGATTATTCCACTACGAAATGTTTATGTTTTTAAATAGCAAGTTACAATTCAATTTTCAGAGTAACTGCATTGGATATATTTTGTCTAACTTATACGGAAACATTTGAATTTTTGGCGGCAGGATTATCCGACGGTACCGTACAATTGCATAAAACTCATAACGGCGAGAAAGCCAGGTCCCTTTGTGACAACGAAATAATACAAAATCCTGGATCAGTAACGGCTATCAAACATAGGCCCGTCCAACAGACACATCCGATAACTCACACTCTCATCGCTACTTGTTAGCACATTTCTTTTTCTACAATCCGTTTTAAGTATATAAGATGATCTGACGAGCATGTAATTATCAGACATAAATGGATGCGTCAAATCTTGGCATTATCCAAGTTCGCAATGCCTCTACACAATAAGAGAGAACCGACAAATTCTTGGTCTGGCCTATCATCCTAATCTACCGAAATTCGTAACGGTTGGTGACGACACGAACGTCTGTTTGTACGACGAAGAAACGAAGACTCAGGAAAGAATGTTCCACGCTAGGTATATCCTTTGATTCTGATTAATCCTTTATAAATCGTATAAAAGAGAAAAAATATTTAGAAAGGGTTCAGTTCTTTTTGTCAGTGAAACCATGGAAAAGATGGACGGGCACAGGTCTCGCGTATTTGCTGCCTGTTTTAATCCAAAATCAGCGCACGAGATCATAAGCGGCGGCTGGGACGACACCATTATGTTTTGGGACTCTCGGCAACCTTACGCTCTCCGTTATATATCGGGTGTTCACATCTGCGGAGATGGCATTGACATAAGTCAGAACGGAAAGGAGGTACTAATGATATTTATTTACTTACTTTATTATTTTCCTTCGTCCATCTATCTAGACATGTCTCTCCCTCTCTCTCTCTCTCTCTCTCTCTCTCTCTCTCTCTCTCTCTCTCTCTCTCTCTCTAGTCAGAGAATCTCGTTATTTTGCCACGTTATTAATGTGTACAGATCCTGACGTGCGCTTGGCAAAGAAAAGATCCCATTCAGTTGTGGGATTATGGAAGTGGCAAACTCATAACGAGTCTCGAGCCCGATAACATATCTTCTATGCTCTATTGCGGAAAGTATCTCAGTAATATCTTTATTACGTGCGCCGGAACGGATGCGAACTTATTTAGAATCGTCGATCTGCGTTCACACTCGGTAAGTTTTCGTCGTTGCATAAAGAGAGAAAATCATTTTCGTTTTCTTTCGTTTCGCTTCGTTCGATAGACCTTAGCGATGGTGAGAAATTTACTCGGAGGTGTTCACGGTATAGCGCTTGGACCGGTCGACACGAAACGCGCTAAAAGGATGAAACAACCCGATATGTTTTTGCCCAAAATTGCCTTCTGCTCTGGCAAAACGATTTACGAAGTTCAAGTAAAATCCGTCTGACTCCGTTTTTCGTCGTCGCGTTTTTCCCTCCCTCGACTTAAGAGACAACTTTATGAGATAAAGGGATTATAACATTTGTTCGTTCTCAATGAAGGAACAACAAACGCCGCGACCTCATTTTCTCAAGCAATAAACAATGTATTTTATTTAATACAAACTATGGTACAAAATTTACACAGAACAACGCACGGTTTTCTTTTTTTCCACATTATTTCTCCATACGTTAAAGCATGGATGGATACGCAGTTTCTCGTTTAAACGCACACACACTTAAGCGAATGAACGTAGTAGGAGCGAGGAGGAATAAAATGAGGGATTACCTTGGGAAAGTATGAAGGGTCGAGAATGAAGGAGCCGCGGGAAGAAGAGTGAGCGATGAGGGACGATGAAAGAGAGATAATTAGTTTAAAAAGGGGCACATCGATTTGCGACAAATACAAACTTACTTGATACTCGAGGAAATTCTCGGTCGGCTTCGGATCGCCGATATTCTTTTCTTTTTTTCTTCTTTTTGTGTATCTCTTTTTTCTTTTTTTATTTTTTTCTTTTTTTTTTTTTCTTTCTGGCGCGGGTTAATTTGCTCGTAATAACGCTGAGAGAGCGGAACGCACGTAACGTGAACGCGCACGTTTCTTGATAAACGCCAAACGACGAGCACCTAAGTCATTTTTATGTCGTCGCGCCAAAACCTACGGACTTTCTTATATTCGAATTTTCGATCTAAAAGCTATTCTATAAATATAAATTGAACAAACAATAATAATTGTGGTCGTTCGACGTGCCTTGGAATTGGCTCGAAAGAGAGGACGCAAAAAAGGACACTCTCTCTCTCTCTCTCTCTCTCTCTCCCCCTCTCTCTCTATTCGATCGAATGATGACATTCATTCGATCTCGTTAACCGGACGATAATTATGTAATTAACCTCTCTAGCTGAAGTAGGAGGGGAGTGGGAGGGGCAGAGGGAGAGGAGGGATTTGGGAGCTTACTTGGATCAGCTCTCTGTGCTCTACCTATCGCATCGATTGGCCTAAAACGATCTCGACGAGTTTATTTGGTTGAAAAATCGTACGGTAATAAAATATATTTATACACGGTAATCGTAGTGCGCTTGTAAAATTACGGACATTGGCATTACGCTCCTGCAAAATCGTTCGTCGAAGAGTATGTATATAAAATTGGTCGTCAATATGCGATAAAATTGTGATCGCATCTTCTTGCTCTTCTCCTTCTTCCTCATTCGTTCAAAATCTGAACTCAATCGCGTCTCGATCTCAAACGATGTGACTTTCCTCTCGTTTTAAGGGGCAGAGGGGGGTGGGGGGTGGGCGGGAGCGGGCGCTGGGGAAATGAACGACGATTCGATGATATGTTTCGAAAGGACGATGAAAATCTGCGCGTCACGTTCTTCGGCCCTCTTTTCTCTTTTCTATTTTTTTCTTTTCTCTTTTTCTTCTTTTTTTTCTTTTTTTTTTTTTTTAACAGCTAATCTTGTACTTTTGGTTTGCAGGAGTTAATACGATATAAATGTAATAAAAAAAAGGAAGGAAAAAAAACGGAAAAATACGAATAAAAAAAACGGGGCAAAAAAAAGAAGTAACAACAGCGATATTATGAAGCGATATACGATCGATCGAACTGAATTAATCGTAGTAGTAAAACGACGATTTATAGTAGTAAGAGTACAAATAGTAGGATAATTAAACGATCAATTAAAAATGAAGGTACATGCATCTCGTGAGCGTGATAACGAGTCTATTTTTTTTCTTTTTCTTTTCTATATCTGGAGAGTGAACATTCGAATTATATACACATATACATATATATATATATATATATCGGGTGCTCACCGATCCCAGTACCTTCATCGAATCACACTCGCGCTTCTTTACTGAGTCGCCCTTTAAAGATTCACTTTTCTCTCTCTCTCTCTCTCTCTCTCATTCTCACTCTCTCTCTCTCTCTCTCTCTCTCTCATTCTTTCTCTCTCTCTCTCTCTCTCTTGCTAACTTTGTGTCATTACGTCGCACCATTTAAAGGACATAATTTTCTTTTTTTCTAATCACATGAGAGTCACTATAAATTACTAACAGTGTAGTTTTATCTCTGTTCCATTTTATCTTTTTTTTCTTTTTTTTTTTAAATAATTAAAATCGATTCGAGGTTTCCTCATATAGCCTTTCTTTTTCATATATAACCTTTCTTTTAAACGTTTCAATAATTATCACTCCCCAAAACGACGTCATAGATTAAACTATCCTCTCTTTCTTTTGCTTTTCTCTCCCCCCTCTCTATTTCTTTCACGTTTTAACATCGCTCTCGATGAATTTTTTTTTCTTTATTATTATCATTATAATAATTATTATTATTAATATTACGTATCTGAAGAAACTGAAAGCGAAGCTGAAAAGAAAAAGCTACGTCTTCTCAGGAGCGATGCCCAGACCTTACATTCACAGCCTGACTGAGCACTCGCCTCTTTACACGAAACTAAAAAAAAAAAAAAAGCCTACGACGATGCTTCACGCGTTCCTTGAACATACATACATAAATCGGTTCACATAATATTTTATCATTAATAATATTATTATCATTATTATCATCATCATCATCATCATCATCATCACCACCATCATCATCATCTTTCATCATCATCATCATCATCATCATCATCATCATCATCATCATCATCATCATCATCATCATCATCATCATCATCATCATCATCACCAAGCACGAACACGTCGTCGTCGTGTACAATGTACATTATTATTTTGTATTATCATCACGATAACGTAACGTTTGATTTTTCACGTCCATTTACTCTATACAACAACGCTAATTTTACGACGAGATGTGACATTAGGAATAACAATTTTCGTAGAATATCTCTCTTTCTTTTCTTCTCTTTTTTATTTCCATCATGTACCTACGTCGTCTACGTTTCATTAAAATTCGCATCTCTTTCATCTCGCGCACACTATTTAACTAATATATTGAGCCAAAGATATGTATGACGCGCTTCGAAAGAAGAAGAAGGAACGACAGACCGTTGGTTGTTTGCCTGTTACAGCAAGTTACAACAGCGATTAAAAGATTGAAAGGAAAGGAAAAGAAAGAAAAGAAAAAAAGAACAAGGATCCTTTTTCCTCGAAATAGACGCGAACATCCTGGCTCTCTATTCGATAATCATTTAAACGCACTCGTCGCACGCGGTATCGTATTTAAAATCCGTTCGAGGAGCAACCAACCTCGAGCGTTGGCATGTAAGAGATCACACGGTTTCGATCGTGGCGGGCAATTGGGAGAGTGAGTGACGGGGACGGATAGGGGGATGGGAGGAAGAGGAGGAGGAGGAGGAGGAGGAGGAGGAGGAAGAGGGGGGATATAGTTAAAAGTGCCAACCTAGTAAGACTCGCTACTTGTTGGCAAACGCGATTACGTTCGGTCGTTTTATCGACGTAATACGCTCATACATCGTCAAAAGAGTATTTCTTCGTTTCCTTTTTGATTTTACATGGTATTGTAAACCGGACTATTGTGCCTAGGCCTGACCTGCAGCCTGGCAAGCGGATGAGTTCTGCCGTGCTGCTGTTGTTTCTTGCTAGCTGCCTTGGCCACGACGCTAGCGACTACGATGCTGGGTGAAGGAACCGGCGGTCTACCCGGTATCTCGCCCGTTGTCGTCGTCGTCGTCGTCGTCGTCGTCGTCGTCGTCGTCGTCGTCGTCGTCGCTGTTGTCGCCGTCGTCGTCTCGCCAAAAAGCGCGTTCGTATGATTATTGATCATGATAGGGGCCGATCTTCTAGCAAACTCTGGTGCGATCTTCGACTTGGCCGGCGGATGGACCTCCATCGAGTCGCCCCACTCTTTGTCCTTGTTACCGCGCAACTGTACGTCCGACGATCGTTTCGAGTCCGTCGATGGTTTGGCCACTTCGTATTTACCTACCAACACCCTCACCGAGAGATCTTCGGTAGCGTCCTGGACGCTAGAATCGTTAACTTTAATTTCCTTGTCTTTGGTTTCACCGACGCTAGACGAGGCTTGGATCTTTGATTCATTGTGAGGTATTACCGGAGAGGATGGTAAACTTCGAATTTTAACGTCCCTCTTCGGTCGAGCTATCATCGAGGAGCCCTCGTGATTATCACAGGCACCCTCGACGAAGCTCTTTTCTAATTTCGTTGATTTTGCCTCAAACTCCTTCTTGAGATTCTTCACGATGCCAGAAGTACTCCGTGGACACTCGGATTCCGGCGAGTCGTCCACGGAGAGACATCGTTTGCTAAAGATCGATTTGTTGCTAAGATTCTCGAGGACCATCTTATGGTGTTTCACCGAGGGGCATTGGGTGGTATTAACGACGCAGGGACTGGACGTTTCGCTTTCAGATCTGCACGATCTCAGGGAGGAAGGTAGATCCGTGTCGGAGGATAAGGATGACGGGGCAGGGGCGCTCGTAGACAATCTTCCAACTTGTCGTATCGAAACCGGTGAAATATCGATACCACCGAGCGGACTCGGTGAATTTCTCGCTGTCTCTATCTTGAGATTAGAGGTTTCTTGGGTAGGCGAGGAATCCCTTCTTCGTGGTGTAGGCGAAGATGTGTGATGAAGAAGAAGAGAATTGTAACCTTCGACAGGAACCTCTTCCGACTCGGCCGTCAATCTATCCTTATCCTCCGTATCGGAATTTTGAGTACAAACGCGTTTAACGGCGGCAGTGCTGGCACCTTCTTCGAGCTTTTGTTTGGTACGTTTGACCGTACCAGGATGCCAAGGTATTTCCTCTTTGTCGTAAGGAAAAAGACCGCTGGATCCTAAAAGGTCGGAGGGTCTCATGTCGTATGATCCCCAGGAACTGTTTCTCGAAGGTAAGGTGGCCCACGAGCTATGCACCGAATTGTTATCAAGAACGACCGCGCTATCGTAACTGCTCCAGGAACTCTGTCTGCTCGGTGAATCTCTCGTAGTTGGTTCGCCGCGTCTTTCTTCGCGATCAAACACCCTGTCCAACTGTGCACTGAACGGATCACCATCCCTTTTCACTTTTCTACCGAGACTACTCGTCGTCGTCGTCGTCGTCGTCGTCGTCGTCGTCATCGTCGTCGTCGTCGTCGTCGTCGTCGTCGTCGTCGCTGTCGCCGTCGCTGTCGTAGTAGTCGTAGTCGTTGGTTCACACGCGACACACTCACTGCTCTCAATGTTATTCACTATTTCTCCGTTAGCCTTGAGACTATTGCACGAGTCAACGGGGCACGTTGCATCGGCCGATGCCGTCCAGACTAGACATTCACTATCGTTTATTACATTCTCTCCGTCCTGTTCCTTCTTTCTACGTCTCTTCTCACCCGGATCCCAGACCACTTGTTCGACCGTCAAAGCATCCGACGACGTACCACCACCCTGAGATCGATCAAGACCATTCTCCAATGGTTTCTCCTCGATTTCAGGACTTTGTGGCAACGGTTTACCGTCCGAATCCGAACCCGGAGAGGACGGCTTGCTACTAGCTGCCTCGAATTGATTCGTCAAATTCAGAACCAAACCTTTCCGTCTCTGACCTTGCATTTCCGATTTCGCGAGCTTGTTGTGTTTCGTGCAAGGTGTGTCAGGCCCTGGAAGATGTACTATCTTGTTTTGCGAAACGCTGTAAGACTGGCCATTGTCGCAAGGCATCAAAACGTTCCGAGCTTCCTGATCCATCGTCGATTTTTGATTCGAACCACGAAGAAGGTCTTCCCTCGTCACCTCCATGGTTCCTACCTTGTCTATGCTTTCCAGGGATTGCGACAGTGGTGCTAAATGGACAAAAAGAAGAAGAAAAAAAAAATAGAAAAGAAACGCTTAGCCCGATGACAATAATACTGTTAAGTCGATCGTACAAAGAAACAAATCTTTACCGGACGGAAGCATATTCTCCGCGAGTTCCACGTTGGGCGACCAACTCTTGGGTCTCTGATTGCTCTTCTTCAATTCTAAACCAGAGATCTCTTGCAAACCATTGTTCGTGTTATCGATTTTCTCTTCCTTCTTCGACTGATCCTTCACCGACGAAGGAGACTTTAAATTAGTGTCGGACTTTGATCTCTGAAGTTTTTCCTTGTTCTTCATAGCGTCCAAAATACCCTGATATGTTTCCAACTGCAGGAGAAAACTGTTGTTCGGTTTGATACAATTGCGCTTCTCCTTGACGTGCTTCCACGCTTGGGAAAAGTCCCAATTGTATGCCTTCATTGCGTACGCTATAACGACCGAGGCCGACCTCGAAACCCCCATCTTGCAATGTACCAAAACCTTCGAGCCTTCCTTCTTTGCCTTGGTTATGTACTTGAACGTGTCGTCCCAATGCTTCAACAAGTCCGTCTTCTCGTCGTCATAGACGCGGACGTTGAGATACGTGAACATTCCCGGAAAGAAATTGTCTATCTCGCGGGTCACGTTTAGGATGTGTCTAACCCTGAAAGTATATAATAAAGGCACATTTCAATATATACAATGTATTTCAATTAGCCAAAAATTGGAATTATTTCAAACAAGAACGCATACCCATTCTTCTGAAGTTCCTCCAAATTACTTGCATTCCATTCGCTACCAAGATAGACATGATCGAATATTTCGGTAGGTGCATCCATTTGTCCCAGTATGGTGAGCATCTCCTGATCGATGAAGGGTTTAAATTCACCCAGATCCATATCTAGATCTTCCTCCAATCTTCCTCGGATGTATTTCGAGGTAACTTCGTCGAGATCCACCGACATCATGATCTCCTTTAAGGTCGATCGAATCACTCGTTCGGTCTCGTCTCTTTCGCTGGGCCTAAAAATTCATCAAATAATAACGCGTTAATAATACTTGAAAATAAATTTAATAATAGATTCCGATGTCGATCGGTCTTCTTTAAGTACGAACTATATATCGTAAGACGTCGTCGAACCGAGCCACTTCCAAGAATTTATGTAGGTCACTCGATGCCCATATATGGGAGGATGTATTAGCCAAGAGACTAAGCGAAACAGCTTTTTTCTTTTTCTTTTCTTTTTTTTCTTTTTTTCTTTTTTTTTTTCTTTTTTTTCTTTTTTTTTTTTTGTGGCCGCCTCTTTCGTCACTCGAATCTATTCCACGAATCTTTACGTATGTATTCGTTACGTTCGTGTATCGTCGATCGAGAGAAACAAAACGAAGCCCGTCGAACTCTGAATACTTTTTTGTTCTTACTTCTTATACATACTATTAAGAGTTTATCTTTTTTTTTTCTTTTCTTTTTCTCAGGAAATTATACAGGTCTGTAGTACGCCGCCAGCGTTCTTTGTTGTGAAATTATATAGGTCAATGTGCCAGCGTGATTTTTCCGAGAAATTATATAGGTCAGCGTGTCAACGTTCTTTCGTACAGGAAATTATACACACACATATATATATATATATATATATATATATATATATTCGCTTCGTAAACACAGTAGTACGTTCATCTTTTTCTGATGGGAACACGTTTTACGGCGAAAGTATTCGAATAGAAAAAGCTAGACAATTTTTCACGATAGAACCGCACGGGCATATATCATTTGAATTTGGGGAAAAAAAAACAACGAAAGAGAAAATTGAGTTTTAAACATTAATGGTTGAAAAATGTTGTTGAACTCTATGCACACGCTCGAGAATATAAACTCCAATAGAATTTAAAGCGAGAGATTTCGTTTGGTGGATCCGAACGTTTCCGAACGAGACAAATTTATGACTCAAGAGCGATGAGAATGACGGTCTCGTTGAGGGCGAAATGGCATTAGAAAGAAATACGTGCGTGGAATACTCGGAAAGGGTGGCAACGAGAAGTTGGTCATTTCCTCCTTATAGCGTTCATAAATCTAAAATAATAATCGACTGACCCAATACCCTCGAGGGAGGGGGAGAGAGAAAGCGTGTGTGTTTGTGTTTTTCAAAGAGGAAGAGAAAAAGAAAGGGGGAACGAGGGAGAGTCAGACGTAGAAACTGGAAATAATTGAAGGACGGTGATAAAGTTATGCTCGGTTCGTCTAAGCGTGCGAATACACAGATATGCGTGCACACATGGAAGAGTAGATACGTCAACAAACGAGCGACTTTGGCAAGGAACCAAGCTAAATCCGCGCGGACGACCAGCTGTTTCGAGAAGGATCGACTCCTATCGACTCTCGCGAGACCCATCGACGCTGAAAAATATTCTTTATTTTTAATCGTCTTCGTCGATTAGCAGACCAGAGGAAAATGACAACGAAAGTTTTAAAATTTATTTCAAACCCGTCTTATATCCGAATATTTATATAATTTCATTTTCTCACGGGTCATTTGCATAATATATATATGTATATATATATATATAGAGAGAGAGAGAGAGAGAGAGAGAGAAACTCACTTGGTGCGTACACTGTCCGGAGATGGTGGTCGTCGAGATTCCAGATTATCCATGGCGTGCCACTCGTTGAGGCACGACCGATCGCTCTCGATTCGTTGTTCATAGTAACTGACCCAGTCATGGGATAGTCCACCCAGGAAGTAATTTTGCTCGCGCGCCTTGCTCGACACCTTGTGTAACGTTTGCAGGGCCGACCTGAAAAACAAAAAATAGTTTCACGCGTTAAAATCGGTTCTATATCGTGTGCCCATTCGATCCTTACGAATAAAGAAGAATAAAAGAAAGAAAGAAAGAAAGAAAGAAAGAGAAAAAAATATCTCTTGGGTAAAACGCTTGAGAACAAGGCCGACATTGCGTACATTTGCTTCTCTTTATTGCAAAAATCTCTCACGTTATTTGGTCATAATGCGCTTAATCTTTGGCGCACTCATAATGATGCGAAATCAAATTTGAATTGAATTCGAATCATAGATTAATACATTGGATTCAATTCAAATTTCTTCAGGGTAATACCGTTCTATTTCTGTCAGAAATAATATAAATCACGGTCATGTATTAATATGTGCAATTAATGCAAGTAGTACACTTGGGCTTTCGCAATAGGAAATAAATAAATTTAACGACACGAGATTATCGATACGAAATCATTAATTGCTCCGAACAAATATTTATTCTGTTTTACATTTTCGTTTCGCCATACCTCATGACTTTCTTGGAAAAGTAGTAACGATCGGTAGGCCTACACTAAAAGTATTTCTATAATACTGTTAAACTCGAGACTGAAAGGTAAAGGAGAGTAAACGCTTGCGGTTAAACCACCGCTCTTATCTACGTGGTAAGTAACGTTTCCTCTTTCCAAGTGGAAAGGTAAAAGATTTCCTTGTCGCTACTTCCTTTCCGTAACACAAATCCTTATCTTCTTTGCCTAATGGGATCCCATGTTGCGAGAAGAGGCTAAAAATGCGCCATTTCTTTTTTCTTTTTTCAAGGATAAACGTACTCAAACTTTCCCGATACATTCGATCGTATACAGCCAAGGCGCTTATTTGTATATTTAGTCGTTTCTTTTCTCATTCGTTTTAAAAGAAAAGCAAACCCGTTCGGAAACGATCCGAGTCATTTGCACAATAAAATAAAACAAAAAGAAAAAAAAAAGAAAAAAAAAAGAAAGGAAAAAGAGGGAAAAAAACTTTTACGACGTCTAAACGATTGACATAATCGTAGTCTTGTTTCGAAGGAACAAAGCCCGACGTTGTTCGCTTTATCACTCAACGATTTATCTCGCGTGGGATTTCATCGAACGGTAATCCCACGGCTGGTTGATGACGATCATTGGGATTTGCGTGATCGATGCTGCTACGTAATAGACTAACTTAAGCCTGCTCGACGCGTTATAATCGAAAGGCAAGGACGCTCTTAAAGCTTAATTAAAGCGTGAGTCGGTCGTATCGACTCGTCAAAGACCACCACCAGAATTGTTGCGACCGATATACTTTCGAAGAGAACGAGAGAGAATGAAAAATGTACTCCTGTTTTTCCTACACATTTATTTACCTTTTTCTCGACGTCACGATATCGCAGACGCTCCTCTCGGCCGATTTATTGATACTACAAACCCCCGTTGTGAAAAGAGAACGAGAAAAATAGAAAGGGGAGGAGGGGGGGGGTGTGTGCGCGTGTGTGGAGAGAGAGGAGAAATTAATAAACTTCATTTCGAAGGTCGATCGGCACCACCACTTTTGGAGGCCTCGAAATGTCGGCCGAACAATAATGTTCCCAATTCGACGACGTAATGGCAGAATTTCAAGGATCGAAGGATGACGTAACGACGTAATCGTACTACCATACGAAATTCGATCCGATTGAAAGATGATCGAGCACTTTTCGCGGCGTTGAAAATAAAACGAAAGAAATATTCGACGACGGCAAGCTACGAAATAATCTGAAAATAAAACCGTATCGATTGAGAAACAAAGAAAATGTAAGAAAATATCTCCGTAGTAATAGTGAAATTATGAAATCGGCTTCTCACCGTTGGAAACGTACGAGTGCTCGATGATCCTTTCCTCTTTTATTATCTGCTGCTTGTTTTTCCATGATTAGATAAGCCATTAGATAAGTTCACGTGTAGTTATACCTTATTCGGCAGGAAGAACTAAAACGTTCGAGGGCTGCGCTTTCGACTTGCGTTGCTTTACAAACGCGACACTTTGCGCAACTATAAAGCGAAGATCGGTACGCGATGACAAGGTAGACGGTACTCGTGAGACTGAAAGGAGAGGAGCGAGAGAGGGATAGAGAGATGGATAGAGAGAGAGAGAGAGAGAGAGAGAGAGAGAGAGAGAGAGAGAGAGAGAGAAAGAGAGAGAGAGAAAAACGCGACGTCGCGAATATAATGAGTCGCGTCATCGGCCACGATACTAAATGGAACGGTGAGGCCGATGAGGCAAGTCGTTACGAGACGCGCGTATGTCGTCTTGCATCGCGTCGAACGCGCCAAGCCAATTTTCCTTTTATTTATTTATTTTTTTCCTTTTTTTCTTTCGCTACATTTTATTCTCAATCATTCTAATCGCAAATATCCTCTCGCTTCTCTTCGTTAATAAAACTTACGAGCAAAAGAAAGAAAGTATTTCCCGAATCTAAATTCACCTCAGACAGGAAGTTTCGATTACAATACGATCGTTGCTCCTCGCACTCTTCTTCTCTTCTTTGCATAGGTATACGTACGCAGGAGGCAGAGACTAATGTACACGTACGTATACGCGTACAACTAAAAGAGAAAAAGAGAGACAGGAATGGAGTTTAAACTCGTGTATCTTCTTCAGGGAATTCTGCTTCCCCTGGATACATGCCAAGCGTGTGCGCTCGAACGAACGAACGAACGAACGAACGAACGAACGAACGAACGAACGAACGAACGAACGAACGAACGAACGAACGAACGAACGAACGAACGAACGAACGAACGAACGAACGAACGAACGAACGAACGAACGAACGAACGAACGAACGAACGTACGTACGAACGAACGTACAAACGTACGAACGAACAACGCGAAATCGAGAGAAAGAGAAAACCACGGAGAGATAGATTTTGTGTGTGTGTGTGTGTGTGTATGTATATATATATATATATATACAGGCGCGCGCGATTCGTTCATGCACCGACGAACAAAGGAGATGCAACACGTGGTTCTCCGTGGCTACCGAAATGACGTTCGTAATAATAACAGAGTCGAACGACAAAAGCAGCACGTGACTATGAGGATTTCCTTCATCGAATCGAAATTACGAGTAGAAACACGCTCGTCAGGAATTCCAAACAAGTATTCTGTAGACGCGAGTAGATATGCGATTTGCGAGAATCGAAAATAAGATCACGGCCAATAAAGAAAAACAACCTGGTTTCATAAACTCGCTTCACGTATTCGTCGTATAAAGTTAATTTACCTACTTCGTTCGAATGCCAGAAAACGTTAGAAATGACTTTAGCAATATTTCCAATGATAAAAGTTGTATCATGGCACGAAGATGAAATAGATTTCTAATCGGGGAATTCCTATTGGCCTTTGATGTTCTATATTGCTAAGGGAAAAACCGTGAGATAAAATGGACTCACCTGGCAGCTGCTACGAAAGAAAACGTAATTCGGAAGCGAAATTTCGTTTTCCTTGAAAAATCAAGAATCCAAAGGATCACCATCGGTAAGACAAAGAGGATCACCGTCGTATAAGCGCAATCACGCGACAACATTTTCTTGCTTTCCGTCCCTTTATCTTTTCTCTCTTTTCGTCCTACTGCTCAAACAGGCTGATGTCCGACCTTGCGAGCTATTCTCGTCAAGGTCATCGGATCGACCCTACGATCGTACGTATATATCGTCATGTCTCTCTTTTTCTCTCTTTTTTTTCTCTCTCTCTCTCTCCTCCTTTCCGTCTGCGAGAAGGAGCGAGAAGGCTATAGGACCGTAAGTCATACGACTTCAGGATTCAGGCCTTAGGACCGTCAAGGTCATAGGACCCTACCGATCCGAGATAAAGAGTTACTTTTTCTTTTTTCCTTATACCGCGGCCAACCTGTACTAGACTTATCTTATTCTCTTTAGCACGCTTTTTCCTCCTTCTTTCCTTCACTTTTCAAACAAAATTCCCTTCTCGCTCTTCTCTTCTCTCTTTTTCTTTCTTATTTTATTTCATTTTATTTTATTTATATCCTTTTTATATCCTTTTTTTACTTGGAAAATCTCTAAATTCTTTCCTGCGAACAGTTGAAACAAAGATGCAGAGGAAAAAGTACACGCAGCGATTCTTCTCGGAAGGAACGAAACGAAAAGTCTTTCGTCGAAGTGTACACCGGCGTGAGCCACGTTTTACTGAAGAAGAGGAGAGAGAGAGAGAGAGAGAGAGAGAGAGAGAGACCGATGATTCGATGATGAGAATAGTACGCGCGAGACCAAAAAGCCGACGGTAGAGAACGCGTTAGAAGTGGGGATGGTGACAGAAGAGGAGCCATATTTAGTATTGCCTTGCGAGCTTCGACTCGATTTTTTGAGCGATTTATAAGAAAGTCTTTTGCAACGTTCGATTTAATGATAGTAAAGTCTGAAAAATCGCATAATAGGCGCGGGCAAGGCAAGAAAAGGCACGTCTTCGTCAGACTTTTGCTCGTAATTTACTTTCGGTTGGATAAAAAACGAAGGTAATTACTTGTTGATGTTGTTAGCTATCCGCACGCGCTAAACTCTCCACGTTAAACACACTTTCTCTCTCGGTACTCGAGGGACAGAGAGCGCGTTATACATAAAGGCAGGACAAGGAGATTATCTCGGATCAACTATTCTACTATTTACAAGCTTGGCGCGTGAATTGCGGCACGCAACTTGCATAGAGATTAGGATCGTTCGTTGTATATGCACCGCGTCGTCGTTGTCCTCGACTATCTCGAATATAACTAGAAACTAGTTTGTCCGAGGAAGAACAGAAACGTCGACGACCGTATGAACAAGCCGTTTTATGGATTTTCGAGCTAAGCGAGATGTCTAAATTTACCTTGGATCGTCGTCTCGCTCGACTGATCGAAATCAACCGATAAGGTAAAAATTGCAATTACGTCGCCGCTCTCTTTTTCCAGAGACGACGCGCGAGAGAGAAAGATCGTATCTACTCCTGATAAAGAGGTTTATTTCGAGAAGA